CACACACACACACACACACACACACACACACACACACACACACGTGCGTCTGCCTGCCCCAGCTCACCGGGTCACTGAGGAGGACTGCAGCCGCACGGCCCATCTCGTGGTAGCCCCTTCCCAGCATTGGGGGGCCGAGCAGGAGGCAGAAAAACCTGAGGAGGGAACAGGGCTCCAGAGAGGGTCAGATACGACTTCCCCACAAGGCCATCCTGAGCGCCAGGCTCAGGTGGGTGCTCCCCTGTGTGCACCCCTGCTCTTCAGCTCAGGTCCCCGGCCCTTTCCACAGACCCCTGAGGACCACCCCGCACCCCCCTCAGACAACCAGATCCAGAGGCTCTCAGCCCCTCCCCTATGAAGCCCTTTCTTCTGGCTACCAGGACCCTGACCCTCCACTCCACAGCCTCACCTGCTGGGGAGGGGCACCTCCGTAAGGGGCCCCAGCACCACTGGGTCCCGCAGGCGCACAAAGGCCCCCAGTGGCTGCCCCAGAAAACCCAGCTCTCCGGCCAGCACAGCCCCTGCCTCGGCCTCCGGAGGCAGCTTCTGTCTCAGGGGGTTCTGACGCTGGGTGGGGGACACAAAAGATGAGAGATTATTTGGGGAGGGCGACCTTAGCAGGACCTTGGTGAGTGAGGGATCAAGTGGAGGGTGAGCCTCTGTTGACCCCTGACCCCTCTTCCTGGCTGTACCCAAGGGTGAGACACAAACCTGTTCCTTCAGGGGGGCTTCTTCGTCGTGAGAAGCCTCCTTTGGGTGGGGAGACCCTGTAAGACAGAATTAGGCAGCAGTGAATGCAGGCCCAGGCTTCGGAGGTGGACCCGCCGGGGCTTCTAATCCAAGTCTGCCTTGGAGAAGCTGTGTGGCCTTGGATACACCCTTCCTCTGCCTGGTCGGACCTCAGTTTTCTTCTCAATGAAATGGACACGAGAGTAGGACTCCCATCCTGGGTGGTTTTAAAGGCTAATTGAGATTCGGGTGGAAAGTGCCCGGCACAGTGCCTGGCCACATATGTCCCTTGCCTGAACCACGACTGCTGGGATTCCAGCCCCTCCATCCTTCTCCCACCACCATTATTCCTGGCTTTCCCTTGCCCACGAGTCCTGGGCTGAGGGCTGAGCGAAGCAGGGCCACTGGAGCTCTGGGCCCCCACCCACCCCCAAAAGGGGTCTCTTACCTCGCCAGCGCTGGATGCCTGTGGTCTTGATATGGTGCTGGGGTCTCTGCAGCAGCAAAGCCTGTAGCTGCCCTCTCAGCTCTGGACTCAGTGACTCGACTCTGGTCACCTGCTCTGGGGAACAGAGGTGCAGCTCAGCTTTCTTCCTGAGGGTCCACACAATCCCCTCTGCCCCTCTGCCCCAAGCCCCCTTCCTTTTGGGTGTCCCAGGGAATGCAGGGACCAGTGAACTTCCTCCTCCACTCAGCTTTGTCATCTCAACCCTGTGACAGAGATGGACAATCCAAAGAGTGGAATAGGGTGGGCGCTGGAAGATTCCAAGACCGCAGGATCGACATGCCTACCCAGGTTCTTCCTGCAAAGGCTTCCTTCGTACCTACAAGCTCCAGGAGGCTCTGGGCTGGGCAGTCCAGCAGTACAAGGCCCTCAGCCAGCAAGCTGCGGAGTTTCTGGAGGCTGGGCAGTGCCAGGGTGGGCACATGGGGGGTGCTCCACCGGCCTGCACCCACCTCTAGTTTCTCCTCAAACAGCATCCACCTGTGGGGAGAGGGGGTGGGCAGAATCTATTGAGCCATCACTCCCAGGCCCAGGAAAGGGGTCCCGGGGGAGCCAGAGAGGTAAGGCAATGGGGGAGTCTTGGGCCCAGTAGGTAGTCAGCCCTCATCTTGGGTTTTGGGAAACTCAAAACTAGACTGCAGAGAAGGCTGGTGTCATGAGAGATGAGGCTTCGAAACAAGAAAACATGGGGAGACTGCGCACGCGCGCGCGTGTGTGTGTGTGTGTGTGTGTGTGTGTGTGTGTGTAGGGAGCCCACAAGAGGAGCTGGGGATGATGAAGGAGGCCCTGCTGGGCAAAGAGAAGAACCCCACCCATAAAACTGGCCTGCGTCCCACTCACCTGCCTGTCTCCCTCCACTCCAGAGCCTGGGGCCAGCCCAGCAGTTCATTCAGCTGAATGAAGAGCAGAGGGTTCTTGGGGACCGCTAGTTCCCTGCTGCCTGTATCTGGGGGGCCCTCCGAGCCAGTGCCATTATCTAGTTGCTCTGCAGGGGCATTTTCAGAAGCAGTGGAGGCTTCAAACTCCTCCTGGCCTGGCAGCTTCATCTTGGTGAGGCTTACGCAGAATCTTGGGACCAGGGCAATCCTGGGTTCTGAAACCAGGAGCGCTCTGGTTGGCCAAATTTATAATCCATCTCTCACCACAGAACAGCACCAACAAGGTAAAGCCTGCTGATTCCAGAGCAGACCAGGTCCTCTCCTCCTCCTTCCTACTACCCCCTTTCACCCCCAGCCCCCCAACTCCCAGGGTGTTTGTGAGACCAGTCTGGCCTTTCCCAGGCTCTCCTGAAATGCCTAACCTGGGGCCAAGGTGTGTGTGTGTGTGTGTATGTATGTGTGTACATTTCCTGTGGGCCCAGGTATGACCCCACAGTGTTGTGTGTAAACAGGAGTAAGTGGCTGACCTGGGTCTGTGGGCTGACACCCCAGATTATGCTGCCCCCTGCCTTGTAGCATATACAAACAACAAATATTCAGGACTGTTTAGGGTGTCATCAACATAACCTGGGGGTTACAGACACACCCATCTGGACAAACAGGGACCCCAAAAATAACTAGCTCCATGGAAGCTAGGCACGGGAAGGGAGACAGTAGAGTGAATCCCTGCCCACTCAGTGACAGATAGCCGAGCCTACTGCTGATGAACACACATCAGAGTTTTAGACTCCTGCGTCCAGCAACACCTAATCACTCTCCCACTTAGCAGTGTCCCTGGGAGCCACTCCTTTGACTCAGCCCCCTCCCCCATTGAAGATGGAGGAGCCACCTTGAGGTTGTATATGAAGGGTTCCCTAGTTAAATGAGCAAGTCCTGTTGGTTCTACCTTCAAAATCTACCAAGAATTCAACCACATCTCCCTACCTACGGGACTACTACCCTGATTCCAGTTGTCAACATTTCTCATCGGAATTATTTCAAAGCCCTTCTAGTCTCTTGAAATAATTTTCCGGATTCCACTCTTCCTCCTAACCCCCAAAGTCCATTTTCCACACAGCAGCCAAAGGGCCTTTTTAAAGGCAATCAAGCCACATCACCCTTTTGCTCAACTGTCACTCACTACATTCCTATCACTCCCAGGAGATGGTCCCCACATGATACAAATGGGTTGCAATCGATTGCTAACCTACAGATTGGTGGGTTGAATCTACCTGGGATGCACCAAGGAAGAAAGCTCTGATGATCCGCCTCCACTAAGATCACAGCCACAAGGAAACCTTATGGAGCAGTTCTACCCTGTAACACTTGGGATCACCATGAGCCAGAACCCACTCCACTCAACTAACCACAGCTGGAAGAAATGCCAATCTCTTATCTTGGCCCAAGGAATCACACCATTCTCCCTTGTTCATTCCTTTCTGGGCACACTAGGCCTCCCCTGGTTAGGCAAAGCCAGTTCCTGTCTAAGGGTTTTTTCAGTACCCTTTTCCACAAGAGGGCATGTTTTTGCCCTGGTCTTTGCATGACTAACTCCCAGTCATCTAGGTCTCGTCTCAGAGGTCATTCACTGAAGGAAGCCTCCCTTATCCATTCTCTCCTACGTTTCTCCTGTGAGTCACGCTCTGTTACGTTCCTCTGTTTTAATTTCTTTCTAGTTCAGAAAGACCAAGTCGGAGGCAAACGCACCTAACAACCATTGTCACCACTAGTAACCACCTCATGTATTTGTTTATCTTTTATTGTCTGCCACCTATACCTACGCACAGAGAAATGCACTGTCTACAGAGCAAGTATCTTATCTGTGTTCGCTGCTGTCCCTAGCTAGAGTGGCAGCACCTGGCACTTAGTGGAGCTCGACAAATACTTTTGTTCAACAAGAGCACAGAAGGGGTGGGGGAAATTGAGGGGAGCTGCACTTCTCCTAGCGGCCACACGAGGGAGCTCCTACCCGAAGCTGCATCGCTGGGGGCCACTCCAGCGTTTCCCCTAAAATCTACCAGCCAGGGTGCCAGGATGGTGAGATAGCAGAGAGGTGTTGGTGATTCACTGCCTTGCAGCTGCCCACCAGTGATTAACCTGGAGAGGTGAGGGCGTCACCGGAAAACGGGGAAGGGATAGTCAATCGTGCTTCTCTGATAGGGGTCAGACCCCCACCGGATCTGGTGGTAGGGGTGTCCTGAGAGATGGGTCCAGACAAGGCCTTCCAACTTGTGTTCTGGACTGACACTAGCTTCAAGTCCATGGAGGCTCCTGGGCAGGAGCTAGAGGAGAAAGAGTCATTATACCTTCTTACCAGATGGAGGGTGAGGGGAGGGTGAGGGTGGGGGAGTTGGTGTCAGCCCCAGGAGAAAAACAACTGACCTGGGGCCTGAGAGGACAGGTAATACTATGACCAGTCCCCTCCAAGACTGTGAGGAAGCCACTTCATTGAGACAAAGGGGATTGGGGAGCACGGACTTAGCATGCACTCCCATCCCAAATCAAGGCTTCTGCCCTTCCCTGCTCTGGGACCCCCACTATCCTGGCCCCTCAGGCTGCCTTCAATAGAAGGCCACCATGCCACCACCCTCCCCACACAGAGGAAGTCCCACACTGCCGCCTCCGGGCCTGGGGGAGGGGCAGTGCTGAGCTAGGCAAATTCACGAGAGTCAGGAGCAGGTGTGGGTGCTGGGGAAAAGCCTGGCCTGGGGTTCAAAGACTGGGCTGCCATCCTGACTCAGTCACAGATTGACGGAGTGTCCTTGAACACGCTCTTCCCCCGCCAGCTTGAGTTTTCATAGCAATAAACTGAGAGAGTTGGGGTAAATGATTTGCAAGGTCCTGGCGAAACATACCTCTCTACAGTGCCCTGAGCTGGGCCCTGAAGACGGGAGCGTGGCCAGGTCAGGAATACCAGACTGCCTACATGTAAACTGGCCTGCTCACATTCTAGCCACAGGGGGTCGGGGGTGGGGTGGGGGGATCTCACATAGCTTAACTGTGTCCCAGTGTTCTTATGTACAAATTCAAAGGAGAAAGGGGCCCACTTGACAGGCCTCTTTCAGTGAGATAATGTGTTAGTGGGTACATAGGCCTGCTACACACGAAACACTGTACACGAGAGACAACGGGTATTCTAGAGTGAGAAAAAAGAGGCCCTCCCAGCACGGGGAGGAAAGGAACAGCCTTGCTCTGGGACGCCGGTGGTGTCGAAGCACTGTTCTGGCCTCATTAGCTCATATAATCCTTACAGCATGCTTTTTAATTTCATTTTTTTATCTTGAACTAATTATAGGCTTACAAAAAGTTGCAAGAAGACAGGGCGGTCCCACAAAACCTGTCATTCAGCTCCTCCCGAGGTTAACATCTTTTGTTGTTCTTCTTAGGGGCCATCACGTCCGTTCTGACCTGGAGCGACCCTGTGAACGATACAAGGAAGCAGAAACACGGTCTGGTCCTGCCCCAGCCTCACAAGTGTTCCTGTGCCCGGGCCCATGGTTGCAGCCACCGTGTCAGTCCATCTCGCTGAGGGCCTCCTCTTTTTCGCTGCCCCTCCACTTTACCAAGCATGCTGTCCTTCTCCAGGGACTTGCTTCTCCTGACAATGGGCTGAAAGTATGTAAGATGAAGTCTCACCGTCCTTACTAGTAAGAAGCGGCTTTGACCTTACTTCTTCCAAGACACATTTGTTTAGCCTTTTGGCAGTCCATGATACTTGCAAACCCAATGATTCTTCTTCCGTCTTCCCGATTCAATGTCCAACTGTCACATGCATATGAGGCCACTGAACGTGCACTGGCTTGGGTTAGATGCGCCTCAGTCCTCACAGAATCATCCTTGCTTTTCAGTGCTCTAAAGGGGTCTGTGCAACATTTACCTAATATGTCTTTTGATCTCTGGCCTGCTGCTTCCATGAGCATTGATTGTGGATCCAAGCAAGACAAAATCCTTGACAACTTCAACCTTTTCTCCATCATGATGTGACCTTTTGGTCCAGCAGTGAGGACTTTGGTCTTGACATTGAGTTGTAATCCCTTCTGAAGGGTCTAACGTTGATCTTCATCAGCCAGCGCTTCAAGTCCTCCTCCTCGCTTCTAGCAAGCAAGGCTGTGTCACCTGCATCTCTCAGATTGTTAGAGCCTTCCTCCAAACCTGATGCCACACTCTTCTTCAAACAATTCAGCTTCTCTGATGATTTGCTCAGCATACAGATGGGACAAGTATGATGAAAGAATACAACCCTTTCACACATCTTTCCTGACGTTAAACCATGCAGTAAACCCTTGTTCTGTTCTCACAACTGCCTCTCAATCCATGTACAAGTTCCACAGGAGCACAAGGGAGTGTTCTGGAATTCCCATTCTTCTCAAGGTTATTCATAGTGTATTATTGACCACACAATCAGACAGTCGGTAAAACACAAGTAAAGCATTCTCTGCTTTCAGCCAAGAAACTTCTGACAGCAGTGATTTTCCTTGTTCCATGTCCTCTTCTGAATCTGGCCTAAACCTCGGTCAGCTCCCTGTCAATGTAGTGCTGTAACTGGTGGTGGATGATCTTTAGCAAAATTTTGCTTACATATGACGTCATGATATTGTTCTATATATGGAGCATTCTGTTGGATCACCTTTCTCTGGAATAGGTACAGATACGGATCTCTTCCCATGAGTTAACCAAGTAGCTGTCTTCCAAATTCCTAGCATACATGAGTGAGTGCTCCCAATGCTTCATCAGCTTGTAGAAACACTTCACTCGGTAGTCCATCAGTTCCCAGAGCCTTGTTTTTGACTGACACATTCAGTGCTGCTTGAACTTCTTCCTTCAGCACCATTGGTTCTTGCTCATATGCTACCTCCTGACATGGTGGAATGTCAACTACTTCTTTTGGGTACAGTGACTCTGTGTATTCTTTCCATCTTCTCTTGATGCTTCCTGCATCAGTCAATATTTTGCCCATAGAATTTTTCAAGATTGCAATTTGAGGCTTGAATTTTTTCCTGAGTTCTTTCAGCTTCAAGTATGCTGAGCATGTTTTTCCCTTTTGATTTTCCAATTCCAGGTCTTTGCACATTTCATTATAATATTTGACTTTATCTCCTCCAGCTGCCCTTTGAAATTTTCTATTCAACCCTTTCATTTCATCATTTCTTCCATTTGCTTTTGCTA